TGTCATGGAAAAGTAAGAAACAAAACGTTGTATCTCGGTCTAGTGCAGAATCCGAGTATAGAGCAATGGCACATTCTACATGTGAAATCATGTGGATACATCATCTTTTAACTGAAATTGGATTGAAGCATTCTACTTCATCAAAACTTTGGTGTGATAATCAAGCTGCGCTTCATATTGCTTCAAATCCGGTATATCATGAAAGAACAAAACATATTGAGGTTGATTGTCATTTTATTCGTGAGAAGATTCAGGAAAATTTGATATCTACGGGCTACGTGAAGACAGGAGAACAGGTAGCTGATTTGTTCACGAAGGCATTGCATGGAGCTCGAGTAGATTACCTTTGTAACAAGCTGGGCATGATCAATATACATGCTCCAGCTTGAGGGGGAGTGTTACAGAATGTATATAGATATCTTTCTTGATATTGTACAAAGCTATAGATAGATAGCATATCTTTAGGATTTCCTCTTTATTTCTTTCCTTAGTTAGCTTCTACTATTATTGTATTTATGCATGTTTACCTATTGAATAAGAAACATGTTATTCTCTCCAATTCCTTGCACAGTTTGCATCAGTAACAGATTGATACCGAATGCAAAGGAAAAAGATATGGTGGCTCATTTTGCAGCTGCTATATTCAGGATGGAGCCGGTAATACGTGTGTGGCTTCTGCTATATTCATTAGTCTATTTTATATAGAGGAACATCACTTGGGAAAACTCAGTATTAGAGCAGTATGTAAAGAAGCTAAGGTTGATTGTTTAGGTAGTAAAAGAAGCATTTTTTACAACAGTGGAAGAAGCAATGGGAAAGAAAGCCTATGACCAATTAGCTTCATCTACTTCAGAGTGTTTGTCAAACATATGAAAACTGATTTCTGCATCAAAGCTTTGCACATGTGATTACTATCTAAATTGTTACCGAATTAAAATAATCTAATTTAACTTTGAAAATGAATCAAACTGACTTTCGAAAAGCGCAACATGACAATTAAAAGTGGACAAAGGGAGTACAAGCATAACAATAACAGAGAAGATGGTGCAGCTGCTCTGATCCTTCAAAGTGTTTCATGTCCATTGACAATTGTTTTTGGAACCCACACTAGATTACATGATGGGAAAAAGTTATAAGATCAGATAGGGAAAAGTAGTCGAAAAGATAATCTAATTCATTCAGTACCCAAACTTTAAATACAATAGATAGGTACAACCTACAGCTAAATTTAAGGAAACTAACTACAAGCTGTACTCACTAACAATTACAATAACTAATGCTTAATACACCCCCTTAAGTTAGGTGTAGTGCAACAATGCCTAACTTGGAATGACACCGTTCAAAGGCTGGTTTTGGCAAGGGCTTGGTAAATGTATCAACAAGTTGATCACAAGCGTGACAAGAACCTGATGCGCTTGAACTTGGTTCCTAGCATAACAGAAGTCCACAGAAATATGTTTCATACGGCTATGAAACACTGGATTATGATAGAGATAAGTGACACCAACATTGTCACAAAATATTGTGGGTGTATTTGGAATGATAATACACAATTCATTGAGCAAGTTGCGCACCCATATGAGTTCGGCAATTGCATTTGCAACTGATTTGTACTCTGCTTCAGTGGATGAGCGAGCTACAACTTGTTGCTTTTTGGATGACCAACTCACTGGATTGGTCCCAAAGAAAAGAACATAACCCGATGTGGATATTCTACATGGTATCAGAGCCATAGCCATAGATTGGCTTGTGAATATTATTTCAAGATCGGGTTGGTGGTAGATTCAATTAGTTTGTGTAGATGGATTTTAGTGGTCGTGTTAATCGACTGGGGATGGAGTTATTGAATCAGTCCAATTACAAGGTATGGAAGACATGTATGGAATCTGTCACGTCCCGAGCCTACACCCTGGGCGGGACCGGCACTCAGAGACCATTGCTGGTCTCAAGCGAACCCTTGGCCTGGCTTCCTTAACTCAGCGGAAACCTAACCCTACAGAATAACTCAATGAAAATGCAAAGTTACAAAACAACTTAACTTATAAAATCTGGCCACAAAGGCAACTCGAATCTCAAAATAGGCTATTTAATTTACATATATACATAGATGAGAGACTCAAAACTAACTGACTAATTGTCTATGAAGCCTCTAAATACTGAGATGGATGTTGGGACAAACCCCGCAACACCCTAATAAAACAAAACTAAGAACACAAAATAATTGAGTCTTCCGGAATGCAAGGAGGCTCACCACTGACTCTGGAGTGCTTAGCTGGATCAATGACGTGCAGGATGCTGATCCGGGGTACCTGTATCTGCATCGTCATAAGATGCAGGCCAACTGGCACCAGTACATGGAATGTACGAGTATACGAGCTGGAAAAATAAGCAACAAAGGCTGGAAGGAAATCTAGAAGAAATTGAAAAGCTTACCTGGCTCAACTCAACTCAACCTGACTGATTTCTTTCAATATAAGGCAATTTTTAAACAAGTGCGATATAAGGAAAGACTGTTTATAACATGTTATAGACTTTGTGTGTATACAAAGATACAATAAGCCTGAGATGTATATAGAAATACAAATGAACTGATGTATATAAAAATACAATAATTTCTGTGTATGAAAATACAATAACTGCTGTGGGAGTTTCTCTAACCGACAACCATCACATAAGAGCTATAGTGATGATACAACGATCGACCTCACACATACAACCTTGTTTAAATGTAAAAACATTTCTTTAAAACTTCTTTGGGAATACATAGTTCCCCTAAATAACTTTTGAGAAATGAACTCAACTTTATGTTCTTGACTTAACTTGAACTCTATACTCTTTACTTGACTTGAAACTCTATGCTCTTTACTCAACTTGAAACTTGAGCCTTAAAATGAAGTTAAAACGTTCAATGAAGACTCTTGAACAACTTTGAAGACTTGTTTGGACTTACTTCTTAGATTGCTTAACTTGACTCTAACTTCACTTGACTTTGATCCAAACTTGCCTCAAATTGAATTATGGATTCAAGGTATATGATCACATGTTTATAAATGAGTTCGGGAGGTGTAAATGTACCTTAGAGTGGTGGAAACAACTAGGAAACATAGGTACAATACCTAGGAACATGCATGAGAAAGTGTGAAAAGAATGGGGGAACTTGGCGTCCTTGGCGCTCTGCAAGGCGCGGAGCGCCAGCCCATGAAGCTCAGAAAGGGCTTGCTGGCACTCTGCTAGGCGCGGCGCCCCAAGGGAGAAAGCTCAGAAGCTCTTTTGGGGCGCGCTGGCAGGCGCGACGCACCACCCCTTTCCCCAGAAACTCGACTTTTCTCCTTCCTTTTTCCAACTCTAAACCACCCTAACTTCAAGGGTTTCAACTCCAAACACTAAGGATCATAAAATCCCTCAACATACAAGAGATTCAACTCAAAAACACCATCAAATCATGTACTAAACCAACAAGAACTTCCAATAACACAACCAACAACTTCAACAACACAAACCAACAATTTCAACAGCCCAACCAAGCTTTTCTCGGAAATAAAACGAGTTTGGTGTGTGGGGGAAAGGATCAACCCAACACTATGAACTCACATACCTAGTAGGGATTACCCCCGACGATGTCCACGACGACCCTTGACGGAAACTTGCTTGATCTCCTCTTGCTTCTTTTCTTCTCCTCTTCACTCAAAACCCTCACTCTCACTCTTTTAAAATGGGACAAAATGATCCAAAAATCATCCTAACACAACAATATAACCCCAAAAGAAATAGCTAGGGAAAAGACCAAAATGCCCTTAAAATTTCCGGACGGATTCCCTGCCAACTGCCCAACTTTCAAAGGGCATATCTCGCTCATACGAACTCAGAATCGAGCAAACTAGGTGGAGTTGGAAAGATCATTCCACAAGATTCGCAACCATAACTGGAACTACTCATAAATCATCCTGAGATAGGAGTTGTGACTGCTCAAAGTTGGCCAAAACTCACTGATTTCCCACACTTGACCAAATTTCCAGATTTTGAATTTTTTTTCCAAAAATGACTATTTCCAATTTCAAGCTTTTTTCATAGTTATTTCAAATTGCCGGATTTTATAGAATCATACCTTGTGGGCGAGGATTTGTGGGATGTTGTTAACGGAAGTGACACAAATCCTCCCAATGACTGACCGAAAACTAGCAGTGCATACAAGAAGTGGAAGTAGGTTAATGTGAAGGCGGAGTTCATTCTGAAGAGGACAATCTCCTCCGGTTTATTTGATCATATTATAAAGTGTAAATTAGCTCATGAAATATGGGGGACCCTTGATCGTTTGTTCAACAAGAAGAATGAAGCTCGACTGCAGATATTGGAGAATGAATTGGCTAACATCACTCAAGGTAATCTTTCTATCTCCGAGTATATTTTGAAGATTAAGAACTTACGTTCTGAGATATCTTTGTTGAATTCGGAAGAGGCTATCTCGGAAGCACGAATGAGAAGAATTGTCATTCGTGGTTTGAAACCTGAATAAATTCCATTTGTGACGCCGATTCAAGGATGGGCTCAATAACCATCCTTGGAGGAGTTTGAAAATTTGTTGTCGTCACAGGAACTACTAGCCAAGCAGTTTGCTAGTGTATTTGTCAAAGATGGAGAAGGAAATGCTCTTGTAGCCGACAAGAGAAATTTCAAAGGAAAATCAAGAGATATGTTGCACTCTCGATCCTCAAGTGATATAAGATCACCGGGAATGAAGAAAGAGTCTTCCAACTATTATGAAGCCTCTCAAATGTTATTGTTGTGGTCAGGTAGGACATATAAAAAGATATTGCCGAGCCAAGGAGAGTAATATGGCTCAAAAGGTTATTGAAGAAGAAGAAGAGTGGGGAAAATGTTTAGTAGCTGAGGCTCAAGCAATAGATGCCATGATTTCCATCAATCTTGAAAGATACTGGATCGAGGATCTAGAATATAATATAGCCGATCACGTGGAGAAGTAAGACACCGATGTCATCGATATGAAGCAAGAAACTCTTGAAGATGTTCATACTGGTGATATGGTAGCTTTTATCGAAGAAATCAAAGAAGTAACTCCTGAACATGCAGTGTTCAAAAGTATGTATGCCGATGGTGACCTTCATGAAGAAAGCATTGAGGGACATGTATTGGAGATCGAAGTCTCTAGTCAATCATCTGTCATATCGAGGTCAGTAACTGGCTTAGATTGAACATTGGAAACAAATGGAGAAAATGATGACCAAATAGATGAAGAAGTTGATTTTGAAGTTTCAAAGACAAATGATATGATTTTTGAAAGCTTTGAAGCTTCCAAAAAATCTATCGAGGAGATCATAAGAGAATATGGCAATGGATCCTATGTTGGTGTTGAGACTTCACAAGAAATTGATAGAGTTTCTCTGGATAATATAATTGTCGAGAAGTTAAGAGAAAGGGGGAGTTTGAGAACTCAACAAGGAGATAATTTACATGGATCAACTGTCGGTGAAAAATCTTTATCATTTGAAGAAGGAAGAGGAGTCCGGAAGAAAGTGCTAAGATTTTCACCAAGGCGTGGCTCAAAGCTTCGTTTGAGCTCTTCCATGACAAGTGTGGGGTAGTTTCCAAAAAATCACTTTAAGGGGGAGTGTGAAAAATTAAAGTTGATTTTTTGGAGGTACAAAAAATATCTTAGATATTTAGTAAAACTTTCTAGAATTTTGTAGAGTAAATATCTTTGATATTTATACTTAAGAAATATCTAGATGTTCTAGATAAGTAGATATTTGTAGTAAAGTATAGAAATATCTAGGTTCTTGTTACATAGTTAGAAGATAAGAATATCTAGATTTTTCTTGTAGAAGTATCTAGAAGCATCCCTATACAAGTATAAATAGGGGTGGCATTAGGCATTTGTAAAACAATCTAATAACAACCCAAATAAAAGAGTGTTCTTCCATAAACAAGTTCTCCTTTCTAGCTTCCTCTTCTTTAGTTGCATATTCCAATCTTAGTTAACGATCTTGGGCTAGCAGAAGGTTTCCCAATACTTTTCTTCTGCTATTCTCTACAATTCTATCATTCAGGTCTCCGGCCCAATCGCATCAGTGTACATGTAAAAATTGTTGTCTGAGTTGCGAAGAATTCTAAGACCTGAAGTTGTTGTGGCTTTAAGATACCGTAGTAGTATCCTCTTAACCGCCTTCCAGTGTTCATGGTAGGTTCATGCATAAACTGTGATAGTTTGTTGACAGCAGGCCGTGTGAATGATAAATCCTGTAACTTACCAAGGGTGCGCCTGTAGAGTGTAGCATGAGCTAGCAGGCGGAGAACCATCAGCTGCCCGAGGTAGTTTACCGGAGCACATTGGAGTCAAGACTCCTTTACAATCTTGCATATCCAATTCAGACAAAATATCATGAATGTATTTGGATTGAGAGAGAATAAGACCATGACCATCTGACACTTTTTTTAACTTCAACACCCAAAAAGTAGTCTAAGTAACCAAGATCCTTCAAAGAAAACCCACTTCTATTCCATTTTGTGAAACACAACCCAAGTAGTAGTGTAGTACTGTCAACTGGATAAATTCCTTTTCTTATTTTCCTCATACTTAATAATCTGTTTTCACATTAATCTTTTTGCTACTTATTTTCCTCATCCATATTAATCTGTTTTCGCATTTTGAATATATTATATTTTGGAATTAAAAGAAAAAAAAATAAAAAAAATAAAATAGATTTAAAAAAAAAAAGTGAAATCACACATGACAATGTGTGTAGTAGCGTGTGTCACGTTTGATTTTCTTCAAAAGAAAACATTAAAATTTCTTCCATTTTGTGCTAATTAGTGAACGTATGTTGTGTAACACAGCCTTGTAAGGTTGATTTGAAAGATTGACTCCCATTGACTTTGCTCTTAACAATTATTCTTTCTATATTATGACTTTTATTTCGTTCTGTGAAACACAACCCAATTAGTGTCTTTTTTTTTATTTTGCTATTTATTTTCCTCCTTTTAATCTGTCTTTACATTAATCTGTTTTCACATTTTGGAAATTAGTCCATACTTTTCAGCATTTTATTTGTTTTGGTGCTATATATATAGTGGAGTAACTTTGATCATTGGAAATACCACAAACACAAATTAATTGCCTTGAAATATTCTATATCATATGGAGAAGCACATTTTCTTATTGATTCTTCTCTTTCTAATTCAATTTTCTGTATCATTTGCTTCCTCAAATGAGAGTGACCAACAAGCTCTATTAGCTTTCCAAAATCTTATTACAAGTCCTAATCATTTTTTGGCCACTAATTGGACCAAAAATACTTCTTTTTGCTCTTGGTATGGTGTCACTTGTAGTCCAAAAAGGCAAAGGGTTGTGGCCTTGACTCTTCCTAATTTGCAACTTCAAGGCACAATTTCCCCGTCTTTGGCCAATTTGTCCTTCCTCAGTGAGATCAATCTTGGGAACAATAACTTCTGTGGTGGCATCCCTTATGGACTTGGCCACTTGCCTCGCTTGCGAGTGATTGATATTCAAAACAATCAGTTTAACGGAAGTATACCAACAAGTCTATTTCAAAATCGGAGAGTTCAAATAATTTCATTGGCTTTCAATGAACTCAGTGGTGAAATGTGGAGAGGGGCCATGGTATGTACCCGAACTCAGAGTCTTAAATCTCGGGAACAATAGCCTAACCGGTATAGTCCCTCCTTCTGTTGGAAATGCCACAAGAATGATGAACTTCAATTTGTCTGGGAATAGAGTCAGTGGCAACATTCCAAAGGAGGTCGGTAATCTGAGCCAGCTTGCATTTCTGTCCTTGATCGATAATCAATTAACTGGTTCCATTCCTACATCACTTTTTAATATCTCGTCACTTCTTGTCCTATCTCTGAGAAATAATATCCTTTCTGGTCCTCTCTTGCTAAACGAAGGAAATATTGTTTCAAATCTGAACCTTTTAAGTATATCTTACAACCAAATATCTGGTTGCATTCCTTCCAACATATGCCAACTCACAGAGCTCAAAGTTTTGTCCATATCTTTCAACAATATAGCTGGAGACATACCCAGAAATATTGGTTGTTTATCCAAACTCGAGAAATTTTATATGGGTGATAATCCAATAAAAGGGACTATTCCCACTTCATTGGGAAATATTTCCACTCTGCATGATCTTTACTGTCAAAACAATCGGATAGTGGGGGGAATTCCTCCGGAATTAGGGAAGCTATCAAATTTGAGGCAATTAACCTTTGACAATAATTCTAATCTTATTGGTCAAATTCCAGAGGCTATTTTCAACATATCTTCTTTGGAAGTGATTGGTTTCACTTTAAACAACCTCTCCGGGAGAATTCCAACCACTACAGGTCTTCATCTTCCGAACCTTAAAGTACTTGAGTTGGGAGTCAATCAGCTGGAAGGGGAAATTCCATTGTTCATAGCAAATGCTTCCAAGCTTCAGAAACTGGAGCTAAATAATAACTTTCTGACAGGAACTATTCCTAATAATTTGGGGAATCTTCGTGAGCTGCAAGCACTGCTCCTACATACCAATCAACTTACCAATGAACCAAGAGAACGTGAGTTGTTATTCTTCAATTCTTTGGCGGACTGTAAGATGTTGCGATATCTACAAGTGGGTAAAAATCCGTTGAATGGCATTCTGCCCAATTCAATTGGGAATCTTTCATCTACTATTGAAAACATTTATATAGGATATGCACACATCAATGGCCTCATCCCCACAAATGTAGGCAACATGAGCGGTCTTACAGTCATAGACATTCAAGGAAACAACTTGACAGGGAGTATTCCTTCTGAGATTGGTAAGCTTAAACAACTCCAAGGGCTGTATCTAGATAAAAATAAATTGCAGGGACATATTCCAGAGGCGGTATGCCATTTATCTAATTTGGTTAAACTATTTCTGAATGGTAATGAGCTCTCTGGATTAATTCCAGAATGCTTAGGAAATCTTAGCATGCTACAAAAGCTTTATTTGTATTCTAATAAATTTTCATCAAAATTTCCATTGAGCCTTTGGAAGATGAGTAGTCTTCTCTATCTAAGTGTGTCACTGAATTCAGTAGAGGGAGAAGTTCCATCAGATATTGGAGGAATGAAAGCCATTGTAGAACTACATCTTTCCAGTAACCACTTTTCAGGAATGATACCAAGCACATTCGGGGAACTCCAAAAACCTGCAGTATCTTGACCTGTCGAACAATTCATTTTTTGGCAAAAATTCCATTATCCTTTGCCAACTTGATAAGCTTAGAATACTTGGATTTGTCTTCAAATGTGTTGTCAGGTACTATTCCTAAGTCTTTGGAAAAACTCTCATACCTTAAAAGCATTAATGTTTCCTTTAATGATTTAGAAGGTGAAATACCGAGTGGTGGTGTGTTTGCAAATTCCACTCTGCAATCATTTCTTGGGAACAAAGGTCTATGTGGAATGCACATATTGGAGATTCCTGCTTGTGCTATCACTAATCCTGGAAAACAATCAAAGCTTAGGGAGGTTCTGCTAAAATTTGTTACTCCAGTGGTTATTGCATCCTTTCTGATATTCTTGTTGGTTTCAATTTGGATAATGAAACGACAGAAGAAAGGAAAGTCCAAAGAGGTAGAGAAGGTACTGGAGATCGGGACTCATCAATTAGTTTCTTATCACGAGATTCAACGAGCAACAAATAATTTTGATGAATCCAATTTAATTGGTGAGGGAAGCTCTGGCTCTGTGTACAAAGGCACATTGTTTGGTGGAACTGCAGTGGCCATTAAGGTTCTGCATTTGGACAATGAGCAAGTATGCAAGAGATTTGATACCAAATGCAAAGTGACGAGAAATGTTAGACACAGAAATCTTGTTCCAGTGATTACTACATGTTCTAGTGACTATATAAGAGCCTTTGTTCTGCAATTTATGCCCAATGGAAGTCTTGAGAATTGG